CATTGAGAGTGGGTATTACTATAATGCTTTAGTAACAAGTGCTTATTAAAAAACTGTTACCAACCACCTTAAACCATTATACATTGAATTCTAAGCTATGAGATCAGCAAGGCATTTTTTGACAACGAAAATGCTGCTCACTTCATATTGTCTCTGTTTTAGCACTATTCTCTCTAAACCCAAGATACAGTATACTCTGTAAATCATAGTATACCAGTAGGCAACAACTGCAAACGTACATTAAATGACAAAACCAGCTGTAAAACATTTTTGATGCTAACTCTACAAACAGATGAAAACACACAGTTTTGCAGCTTGCTTCTACATTTACTGTGTGTTTGCACCTGTCGCCCACCTTAATAAAGCTTTGACTTTGGTTTTATACACCAGAAGAAGTTAAAAAGCATGAGGTTCATTACCTTCTTATATCAGCAGTAAATGTTTCCAAAATAATGTCAGAATGTCTAGTCACTTGAAGGGGACCCTCGTGTGCTTCCACTTTTTAGTTATGCTAAAATCATTGGCCCTGCAAATCACCCTGGTAACTTATAGATAGATAAATCCTGATTGCTTGTTAATAAAAACATTCTATGGTCTCCAATATGAATCAGAACAGCCTAAAATCAGTAAAAGTCAGACTACAAACATAAAATTCATGAAAGCCTGAGAATCCAAGCATATGCTGGTAATAATCTCATAGTATGTAGTAATGCAGAATCATATATTCCATCTTCCTGGAAGCACAATGTTTATGATTACACTCTTTGAATAACTCTAATAAGGGCTTGAAGAAAGTTATGCACGGGAAAAAAATTATATTTGCTGCGTGCACTTCAGATATTAGGATGGCTTGTTTCCATTTTTCCTGTGAGGTCATGCTTTAATCGATGAGAGCATCAAGAGGCACATTTAGATAAACTCTGAAACTGAGCAGATATATAAGTAACCTCTTAACTTCATTATGTAAATATGCCAAATGTTTCAAAGTTGATTCTACCTTCTATAAAAGGACTGAAATTAATATCACAACTATTTAAAGATCATTCTTGATGTTTCCTCTTTTTTTGCATTGGGACACAAAACACAGTTTAAGACCTTAAGAACAGGAAATTAACAGAGCTTCTGTTTTTACAGAGGTAATACTCAGCTTATCAATTGGCTGTGATTAGCTTAACTTGGCTACTGCTTATTAAGTTTTGTTGTTTCTTTTTGGTTCACCAGAAGTTGCATTTACTAGACAGTTTTCTAAAACCAGGTAACTTTCCATATGACTTTGATAAATGTTCTTTCATCAGATGATACAGTACTATCTAATTTGCCTAAAACACTCATTTACTGTAGCATAGGAAATCATGTTTTGTTTTGTTTTTTTAATGGTGGGTTATGGTGACCCTTTGCTCATACAGTATTATTGCATATTTAAGTGTACTTGTCCATTGAAGGCAATGATCATTAAGATGTTTTAGTTTATGATCTAATTTTTCTTATACATGTTTTACTATAGCAAGTTTGCAGTAAGTTTTCAGCAACAATAATTTTACCTTATTGTAGGGATAGGGTTAGTTCATCGGTTCCTAATTCTGGGTATACTTAAATAGGGAAATCAAACATGTTTGTATGCTTTTTGGGAGTGTTTTTTTATGGATATATTGGACCTTTGTCAATATCTTGAAAAGTGTAAAAAGATATATATTTTTTTAATCTAAAATTACATAAAAACTTCTATACTAATGAATTGTACCTCCTCAGGAAAAACATTAACAATCAAAATTCTCTAATATAATCACTACCCTGCAATGTATCACATTTTCAAATGTAACTTTTTAGAATTTTATTTATTGTTTTTTTTTTCATTAAGGGGTTATTATCATGAATCTAAAAATGTATTTCGTTAAAAGTAAAGCAGTTAAATTGGAAGTAACAGCTTAAAGACATATGGTCTAACACTGTCTTGGTCATTTCAAGGGAAGGGGTTTAGACTGTAAGTGTAAGGGAAATTTTGTTTCAATGTACATTTTAAAATGATAAAAACTGAAACTGACTTGATATATTGGAGACTGTTTATTTCTTTTTGCAACTAGGGCTGATACTCTTTGATCGGTTTCCTTTGTGAAACTAAGCTGACCTCTGAAGTAGCCCGTGTTTATTAGGTCTGCTCTGCAGGAGCTCACGTCTCCGTCCGATTGAAGAGAAAAAGTTTAAAGCCCACCTCTGATCCCTTCTAATTAAATGAAAACACAGTGGGATACCCACAGTAAGACTGTGTTCTTCCAACCACATGCACAAACACAGTTTTGAAGGTAACCAATGTGGGTGTTCTCAACAGGGGAACAACAGCTGGAACAACACAGAGTTCCAGCATCCAGCTCTGCAGCATTCTCTTATGCAGCGCAATCACACACCAGGCTGACATTCAACACACTGCAATTCATGAGCATAAATATGCGATGGAATGTTTTACCTGAAAGAGGGAACTTTAATTCAAAGGCATCACTCTAGTACTGAGAAGAAATGTTGCCTCATTAGTGTTACCCCACTGCTTTTACTGAACAGCAGTCATGAAGAGAGAGAGGCATCGTGCCACTCTTACCACACAGACATCTCCTCTCCAGAGATCTTCGTATGCCTCAGCAGATGAAAAATACTGCACATTGTTATGGATCCATTGGCATGGCTACAGGTTTAACGGAGACGCTTGAATGCCAAAAATCTAGCCTTTCAAATGCTCACAACGAGCCAGCCACCAGCAGGTAAATGTGACACAACTGCTGCCGGAGTGCTGCTCTGTTTCTGAACATAAAGCTCGCTCAGTGTGCAGAACGAGAGGACGATAAGCACTGGGGTGATATTTAGACTGAAAGAAAAGGTGAGGAGACAAGGAAAGTCATCATTTGGAGGAGGGCTGGCCTGTTGCCTTCATCTGGCATGATTGGCAGAATGGTGCATTGGGTGCACTTGCTCGAACGCTATTACAAGCATTTCTGTACATGTCTGTCTATCAGTACTGTAAAAGCAGAGCGACAGCCATGACATCTAATCACAGGCGAGCTGGTGCCTCATAACTTTTGCCTAATGTGCTGAAGGTGCAGAGTAGCAAAGGAAGAAGGGGGCCAACACAACCGCTTCTATCACTGCTACTATTAATAGCCCCTTCACAGGCCACTGACAGGAAGTGGATCATACCGAGGGGTTAGAGATTGTGTCCCCCACTCTATCTCGAGCTCCTGTATTTAGACATAGGTCTCAGTTGACAAGATTAAACAATGAGGTATCCTGGTATCTGTGTGATTCATTTTTCTGGGTTATACTTCTGACAGAGTAACATAAAAAGAGGGCAGATAGTCTACATGTACAAGATGATAATGAGTCATTTACATAATGTTGCTACAACATTATAATTACCTGGCAATTAAAGCGGCTCAAAAGCCTCATTATGGACTGTCCTGAGGGCCACTAAGACTGGGACAAGTTAGATTGTCATCAACTCTGTTTTCTGCCTCTAAATCAACCATTGGCATCATTATGTTGACTTGCACTGCTGAAAAACTAGAATGCATTGTAACAGGATTTTGTGTTGATGGACCAAAACAAAATACTTGACACAAATGAAGGAAAATAATAAATAAGTTGAACCTTTTTTAATCAAATAATAATCTTATTATTCTTGTTGTTTTTTTTTTAAAGCTATTAAACTCATTACCTCTAAACAAAAGGTTGAACCAAAAACACAAACAGCTATTCTGTAGTAGAATTAATATGAGTATCAATTTAGCTCTTCTGTGCAGGAGCGGTTGGTTTGTTAGAGACCATTAGAAAACAAGCAGCATCACAAAGACCAAGAAATATAACAGATTGCTCAGAGACATAGAGCTATGGGAATACAAATGAAGACCATATCTTTCCAGTTTTCTTTAATAATCTTGAGAACCATTTTTCCTTTTACCCCATGCTTATATTCTACTCTGTATTTGTCTACAAATAAATTGATTGAAAATAACATTAAGACATGAAAAGATTACAGTTTGAAGTTTCAACTGATAACCATATTAAAAAAGGCCTAGGATATTAATGCTTTTGACATTTTTTACCTAACTTTTTTTTTTATCCACACATAAAACATAAGAAAACTAAGGCATATTGCAGCAGACACAAGGACAATATTAAATATTTCTTTTTTATCGCGTAGGATTTGTCAGTTCCACTTCCCAGTCCACGAGGACTGAGTTGACATACTGAAAAATCCACAAAAGAACATAACAGAGACATGTGTCATACTTTACACCCTTATTATACCTGCAATGACAAGTGAGACGAGCAGCAGTTTCAATATTTTACCACTCAGCTTCCCATTGCTCACAGTCTAAGTCAAGAATCTCTTACATTTTTGGGGAAATGTCAATATAATAAAATGTTGTGAGTGAAATATAAAGATTTGGACTTCTTGGGGTGGTTTGAAGGGAGGGGTGGGGCAGGAAGATTTCTCCTGAATAGCAGACAATGAATGATGGAGCCTCTCCCAAGGGTGCAGGCCCCTGAGCTATGCTGCAGGGACTCAGGAACACAGCAGTCTTCCATGCCCTGCGAGATGCCAGTTTTTGGTGGGCACCGTTCCGAATGGGTGCTCTTCTCTCCAGGATACGCTGCCGGGGCCCCCAGGGGAGAGTCTACAGGCTGTGGCGATTCCATAGTAGGGTTGGCTGGAATCTCAATCAGGGACATGAGTGGGGAAAAAACGAAGTCTTTACATTTATTCTGTTTCCTTGGATCGCTGCAAGAAAGCAGAAACAAGTCCTTAATTTACTGAGATCACACACAGTCTCTGGCTGACTGCAACCTTTTGTATATTTCCTAATTGGTGAAAAATTACAATAACAAGGCTTGAATTTAATTTAATCTCCCACAATTATGGCAATGTTTAAATATGCTTGTAGACTGTCTGCTCACAACCTTTCTTTTTTCTTTCTTCTGCTCTCGTCCCCGGCTTCGCTGCAACAACACAGGAGCTGCTGAAACCGTGACAGGTACTTCTTCTTCTCGCTACCTGCTGTTCATTTGGAAGTGCTTGCTTCTGTGCATCTGTTGATTGGCTGTCCATCCCAGTCTGCTCATCTGTCTTTGTGAACATGGCTGCTTATGTTTGCATTATTTTATTGTATATTTCTTTTAGGGCATGAATTTCTTTTCCGTTAAATTACCCTTTCATCATTTAGTGTAACTGATAGTTTTGAATTCCTCTAATATTTCTTAATTGCCTTTTTTACACAATATCTAACAGCAATACTCATCTATTCCTGCTGTTTAGCCTCTCCAAAAGTATTTGTCTGCACTGTTTCCATTCTTAGTCACATAGTTGATCATTACCATTTTTCATTGATGATCATTTTTTTCACTATCTTTTATTTAAAAAAAATGTAATTCATTACATAATATATCAGCACTTAATGGAAACTGAACTTGAATGACTCTATTTACAATGGTAAGTAATGCTGATGGACTCTCTGTTTTAAATTAGATTTGGGAACATTTGCTTTCCAGCAGCTACTACTTCTCCAAGATTGCATTGCGTTTGCCAAAACTCTTTGGTTAACTTAATCCTAAAAGTTTTACTGATTAAAACAAAAGCAAAGCACTTGAAAGTACGAACAGCTGACATTAAAACAACTGAAGCCAAAGGAAAGTGCAATACATGACTTTTAAATTTCTACCCTGTTAAGTTCAATCATCTAAATTATTGAAATAAAACTGAACTCCTATTAAATACTGAGCATCAGTCTGAGCATTTTATCATCAACTTAAAGTAATTTAAATGTAGAAATATTACATATATTTGTTGCGTTTTTTTTTTTTATTAATATATTTTTATTAGCTAAAAATGGGCTACTGTTTTTTGCTGTAGGTTATTGAGCAGCCAAGATCATATACATATTTACTTAATTACATAAAACCCCACTTGTTCATATAGCATACTATAAACAGCAGGTACGTAGGTAATTCATATTCTCACAAGGATGACACATACTTAATGAGGCAAAGGTGCAGCACTCATACATTATTTTGCAAAAAGTATTCACTCAAATTGCTTCACCCGCATATGAGCATAAGTGACATTCCTTTCCTAATCCATAGACGTTGGTCCATCCTTTGCAGCTAGAGCAGCCTCAGTTCTTCTGGGATGACTGTCCAAAGGTTAAGGATTGTGTTTATACTGTAAGAATTTTTGATCGTTCATCCTAAAGCACATTTGTGAGGTCACACACTGATGCCGGGTTAGAAGACCTGGCTCTCAGTCTCCACTCTTATTCATCCTAAAGGTGTTCTATCAGGTTGAGGTCAGAACCCTGTGCAAGCCTAGCAAGTTAATCCACACCAGACTGCCATTCATGCCATTATGGACCTTGCTTTGTGTACTGGTGCACAGTCATTTTGGTTTGGGAAGGGGCCAGCTCCAAACTGTTCCCACAAAGTTGGGAGCATGGAATTGTCCAAAATGTCTTGGTATGCTGAAGCATTCAGAGTTCCTTTCACTGGAACTAAGGGGCCAAGCCCAGCTCCTGAAAAACAAACCCAACACCATAATCCTCCTTCCACCAAACTTTACACTTGGCACTATGCATTTGGTCGAGTAGATCGCCCATTAGATTTACAAACGGAGAAGCAAAAGTCGTCATTTTAGAGAGTGCATCTCCATTGTTCTGGAGTCCAGCTTTACATGACTACATCAGATGCTTTACATTACATATGGCGATGTATGGCTTGGATGCAGCTGCTCGACCATGGAAACCCATTCCATGAAGCCCTCAGTTGTAGAACTAATGTAAAGGCCACATGAAGTTTGGAGGAGTTTAGTGATTGACTCTACAGAGAGTTAGTGATCTCTTCGCACTGTGTGTTTCAGAAGCCACTGACTCCGCTCCCATATTTTACATGGCCTACCACTTCATGGCTGAGCTGCTGTAATTCCCAAACACATTTTCTTATGATTCAGCTAAAAGCTTTAAGAGTGAGAAAATGCCATGACTGGATTTGAGGTATAGGTAGCATCCTTTCACAGGTTCAGATCCTCTTGGAAATCCACTGAGCTCCTGAGAGTGCCCCCTTCTTCCACAAATCTTTGCACCAACAGTCTGCAAACCTAGGTGCCTTATTTTATACTTGTGGCCATGAAAGTGATTGGAACACATGATTCCAGTATTTGGAAGTAAAGGCAAATACTTGACAATATTGTGTTTACAGTATGTACAAAAGCACAGTTTTCATGTCTAACATATAAAGATGCATATTTCAGCACATTTCAGCATCTGCATATAATGTATATGCTATGTTTAGGCTGGAGGAAAGGTACAAAAGACCATGTTGGACAATTGCAACAATGCATTAATATGTTTAAAGAACTTTACCAATATAGAAAAACTGTTTTGTGCTTGATGGATTCTTGACTGCAGTTCATCCGAAGTTCATAAGAACTTAAGTTATACTGTCCTTTGATTACCTGTAACCCTCTTCAAAAGAAGTGGAACTCAGTGAGAAACATAAGGGAGGGGTTTTAGATTTCCCAAAGGTCCCTTCTGTGATATTGAACTAAAATATAGATATGAATAGGTAGATTGTTTTCCCTTTTTTGATGCACTGATGCTTTACCTGCTCTCCGAGGGTTAAGTCTAAACTTAAATTATGTCTCAGTTGAATTGTACATTATTCTCGGTTGAGGTTTTATTTCCCACACAGCTTCTTTGCAACTCTCCAAAAAAGATTTTACCTAAAAACTTATATAATGTGTTTTTTACAACATAAAAGTACATTTATACTTTTCATGTATAAACCCCCACTTGCTCAATGAATTCAGAGGAGAAATGTCATCAGTCTGACCTATACCTCCTATTTCACTAAGTAAAATCAATGGCTTAAACTGTGGCAGGGCTTTTGTCCTGCAGTGTTGGAAAACAATAATCTGAAAATCCGTTGGCATGTAGGATGTAAGGTTTGTTTTACTAAAAGCTATTGACATTAACATTCTAATGCACAGCTAACGAAAAGTAAACAAAAAAAGAAAACTGTTGCTGCGCCAACAAATTTCTTTTATTCTAGATTTTTTTAGTCGACGGATGATGATCTAATAACTGTAATATTAGACAGATATAACAGCATAACATTCAGAGTTATGTTTCCCAATGGTTATTTTGTTTATTAAGTAAAAGAACTGTCATAACAAACCTGATTTTAAATAAAATAGAATTGCCCAGTAAACCTTATCCCTGGGTTTACCTCCCTCGGAGGCACCAGCTGCCCCTAAGCATTTTCAATAAGGGGCAATGACTCTTATACGTTTTGTTTCTCAGTTATTTAGAATTACAATTAAATTATTGTTGTTTGAATGTTTTTAAGGCTGTCTGACAGTAAGCAGAATTTATCGTGCCACCGAAGAGGTGTGCTTTGATTAGAGCGCGCAATCCATGTATGAAGGCCTTAGTCCTTGACGCGGCTGACCCGGGTTCAAATCTATCCTGTGGTCCTTTTATTCTTTGTAGGGAGTGGCAGCCTAGTAGTTAGGGCATTGCGCTTGGAATTCAGAGGTTCTGAGTTCAAGCCCACTTCCCCACAGACTGCCACTCTGGATCCCTCAGCAAAGACCCTTAACCCCACACTGCTCCCAGGGCGCCACACAATGGCAGCCCACTGCTCCCCACGGGGATGGGTTAAATGCAGAGGTGAATTCCGTTGCTCTGTACTTGTGACAATGTACTGACAATCGAAAGCTGGGGGGAAAAAAATATATATATATATATATATATTATCTAAGTCACGAATAGGCAAACATTAAACCATTAAACTAAATATGTGTTGCTATGTTGCTTTTTATGAAGTGTTAGTTTTGAGCCTGAGTATAAGGAATCTAAAAAAGCTGGTCATTTTTAGAATTGCCTTTGCTCAAAAGAAAGGTTCCTCAAAAACGATGATTATTTTTGCCCAGTAGTGCTTTAGCTTGGACCTCTCCAAATTGATGCTGTTATTGCCTTATTTTTCTCCTATTGTCCAACAATGATCACTGACTTTAGCTAAGAAATTTTGAGAGTGCCACATTTTAATGGACTCTGGTTCATTTAGTTCTTTCCTGGATGTGTAGTCGGTGCTTTCTTTAATCATTTATGATCAGCTGGACACTACTAGGAATGGCTTATCACAGTTCCATGTACTGTAAGCTCCATTTGTGAATAAATAATCCATTATGGTTTATTGGACCTCCAAAAACTTTAGAGATGCTTTCTTTTACCTCTTTAAGCAAGATGTTAATAAATTTCTTTAGCATTATGTGTTGCTATTTATGGCTATTTCTTTTTTCTTTACTTTATTATTTTATGGTCCGGGAGTAGTCATGCCTGGGTGTGGTTAGTATACTGTAACTGATCTTAGCTTTCCAAAAATATGTGTTTAACTGATTAATTTATCATTGCTAGTTTCAGATATGGATAGGTGAAGAATATTTTCCCTATTTTAAAATAGTCCATGTATTTGCTCAGACTAACTTACAAAAATTTAAAAAGGGGTTTGATGACCTGAACCACTAAAGTGTAACTCCATAAAACTCCATAAAAGCCATAGCAAATCAAATAATACCTGAAAAAGTTTTTATTTACTGACATGATAAAACAGTAACGTCTCAATCATACAGTTTCAGGTCAAAGCTCAATTTTTTTTATAGACATAATCATGTATGTCTAAAGAAAGTTGCCATTTAAACATTCTCCCCTTCAAATTCAAAACTGCTTTATTAATCTTAAAGGAAAATTAAATATAAATTATTAATTAAAAATATTCAAGCCTTTCATTTTCTTTTTGATATGTTTAGACATTGGAACTCAAATTAAAGTTGCTCTCTTTATTAAAGTTGCATAGGACCTATGGATTGTTCAAACCTTTGACTGTTTCAATTAAGAGATTAAAAGATTGTATTTCTTTTAATACAAAAAAAAATTGTGATATATTCATACTTAAACGTTTGCTTTTTATTTTTCAACAGGAGCAA